CCGATAATTCCGTCATCCTCGATGTCTGCTACTAGTGCCCGATGTTTCACTTTCGTGCTACCTAAGATCAGTTCAATCGGCAGCTCACCATATACAGTGGCAGGCTCCCCTGTTGCTGTGCGTAGCTTCCAGGTTGACGGTTCAATTCTTGCTGATGTTTTAGCAAAAGTAGGCCCAAGGATTGTCCTAGTCGCACCTGTATCTAGCAGCATGGTGCAAGGCTCGTTGTTGATGAGACCGTCTACGAAGACACCTTTGTTCTGTCGTTGAAGTATAGCGACAAATGCGTTGTTAACGGGGGCTCGCTGAATACAGGTCGACGATTGCCCCTCCTCATCGACCCTCCTTAGTTTTTCCTGCGTCGGTGTCAATTCTTTGAATGTTGGACATTTGCTACGCACATGCCCAAATTTGCCACAATTTCAACATCTTATCTGCCTTCTCTCAGGTAACACTTCCTTCATCACTTTTCTTATGGCAGCTTCTGAGTTAGCAGGCTCCTGTGCTTCTTCCTCAATCATTCGAACTTTGCTTTGGCTTTTGCAGGATTGTTTTGCTGCCTCGAATTCCAAAGCGCGTGCCAATGCGTCCACGAGATGTGTTGGACGAGCTAATGTCAACGCTTGTCTGGTTTCTTGATCCCGAAGTCCATCTAAGAATGCCTGAACCGCTAATCGCTACATTACATTTTCCGGTGTGGCCGGATATGCGAGGCGAACCAAGCGAGCAATGTCAGCCTCGAATTCCTGTAACAATTCGCCTGATTCCTGGCGGCGGTTTTTCAGCTGGGAGTGGTATACATGTTCCAAATGGGCCTGGCCATACCGCAATTCTAGATGTTTAATCAGCTGATCATAGTCCTCCTGTTCTTGGGCGGTGAGGGTTTGTAAAATATTCGTTGCTTCTCCTCGCAAAGCAAGTGTCAATGATACAGCTCTTTCTTCTGCATTCCATCCATTTGCTTTGGCCGCAGCTTCGAATTGTCGGCGGTAATTTGCCCATGGGGTTTTTCCGTCGAACTGAGGTGGCTTCAATGAAAGCTTCCCTGGTTCACTACTGACCTTGAAATCATGTATCCCTTTTCTAACTCCATCCAAGTTCAAACTCATGTCCAGCACTGCGTTCCCATTAACGGTCTCTATGACGTGTGCAGTATCGGTTTGGCTTTTCAACTTACAGATTGTTTATTTTATTTCGTCTATTTCTGCCTCCATCTCATCTTTGATTTTTCCTATCTCTGTCTCGACGGTTCCCATTCTTTCTTCTAATCGATTAGCCACACAACAAAGTTCTTCTTTCAGGCTTCTTGTGTTTTCTTTCAATTCATTTGAATTTTCTAGAAGCTTTTCTAGAAGCTTTTCTTCCAGGTTTTTTGAATTTGCTTGAAGTTTACGCCTTCCTGAATCAGTGCTTCTGAAAGTCTTTTCTGAAGTTCGGCCTTTTTACCATTAGTTTCCAGTTCCCTCTCATCCAATTCCAGCTTCAGCTCAGCAACTTTCAAGTCCACGAGGCGCACTTTTCTCGAACTCATTTTTGACTTTGATCGAGGTATCAGTCCTACTGTCTATTACGCGAGCACTTATTTATTTTGAAAATCTCACTTCTGACACCACTGTAATGAAAATCGTCTTACTTATTCACTAATTTATTTAAAACCACTAGAATACAACTCCCAATTTATCTCCAACTAATATTTATATTACGGCTCTGACTATCGCATTTAGCGCGACTTCTCCACTCTCTCCTCTCCGACTATCTGGAGGTTATTTATATTCGTGTAGGGTTCTGTCGAGAATCCACTGGAAATTTCCGCAGTTGCCCGCTGCATGCTAGACGTTTCGCGATCTCCATCGTGCTTATCGATCGTTTCTTCGGCGTAAGCGGTAGGCGACAGGGCCGGCCTAAGTGCGTTACATGAGGATAAATCAAAAGACAAATAAAGGTATATAGAAATAATAATAATAATAATAATAATAATAATAATAATAATAATAATAAATGCCTTTATTTCCATGATAACCTACAGTCTAACAACAATTCTTACAATAGTTCGGAAATCTCAAGGGGGAGTTCACTACTTAGTGCTCTTCCACTCAACCCTTGTCATATTCAATTGAATAATTTTTAATAATTGTCATGCTTGTCATACTCACCTATTCTAAAACTATACCTGAGCGGTAAACGTTAGAGGAGATTAGAAAATGAGAGAAGGTGATGATATAATATCAATAATTATAATAATTATAATAATATTAACGATAATAAAAATATTGATAAAAAGAAAGAAATTGAACATTATTCATACATGTATATATATATAAATGTGTACAGGAAACTAACGCATCTGAACACCATAATCAAGGAGACATTAGTTGATTTTTTAAATGTGACGTAATCGCTCGCTTGAATTTAGGCAAATTGAAATACTTATAGTGAGATGGCACGGCATTATATAACTTGTAGATGTTGAATCTGAAACCTCTTTCGAGAAACTTTGTACTATGAGTTGAACATGTGAGCAAGTTCTTAGATCTAATGTTGACATTGTGAACATCACTTCGATAATTAATCTTTTTTGCTAGGTAAGGAGGCTGTTGCGTTGTGATTATTATATGGTACAAACATAGAGATAAAACTTCTCGACGCTCCTTCATATTCAGCCATCCCAATTCACGCAGCTTGTGAGTAACCCTATCATATTTCCTGATTCCGTATATGAATCTGACGCAAGAGTTTTCAACACGTTGGATTCTGCTAACTGTGTCTTGGTTCAAACAAGGGCCGTAAATAGGGGCACAAAAAGAGAGCTGTGAAAGTACTAGTGTCTCGCACAACATTTTTTTCGTGCTCCTACACAAATTTTGCCTGTGGGGATACAACAATCTCAATGCTGCATAGGATCTTTGTACACATTTTGTTATATGTTCTCTGAATCTTAGTGATTTATCAATTATTAGACCAAGATTTTTCACCGAGTCAGAAAATTCTAAAACGTTCCGTTTACATTGATACGAAGCGTTTGAGTTAATTGCTCTGATTTTTTACCAAATAAAATAACAGTTGATTTACCTGGATTCAATTTGAGAGAGTGATCAGCTGATATTTCAGAAATTTTTTGTAGGTCACAATTGATTTTGAACTCTGCTATTATATCGTCGGTAGGAAAAAATGAATGGTATAGTTGTGTGTCATCAGCATACATGTGGATGTTACAGTAATCCAGAAATTTCGGCAGTTGGCTAGTATATATGGTGAACAGTAGAGGGCAAAGTATTGAACAGAGACAATTTTCAGAGGTACATGTTTATCAAATAATTGCAGTAGTTGTTCATTGAAAATAGACAATGTTTCGTCAATGTTGTTCGTGAAAAATATTTGTTGAAGAGGGAATTGATCAATATGAAAATTTTTGAAATCTCTAAATTTATATAACTTAGGTTCAGACTTTGGTTTGGTGCAGTTTAGTTTACAAGAAATAATTTCGTGATCAGAGAGTTCAATTCCACCCACAGAAGTTGAAATTATCAAATTCGGATCATCACATATAATTAGATCAATAAGTGACATTCCTGTGGCTGAAATTCGAGTTGCTTCCTTCACCATTTGATGCATATTAGTAGAGTTCAACATAGACGAAATATACTGAGTCATTGGAGAATCAGAATCTAACATATTTATGTTCATATCGCCTAAACACAAAATTTTTTCTCCGTGTAGCATACAGATTGGGAATGTTTCTTCCAATTCATCAACAAAAGTTTTATAATTCATATGTTGGGGTCTATAAGTAACTCCAACAGCGTAAGAAACTCCATTGAGTGAGAGGGATATCCATAATTGTTCAATATTCAAGGGAACATCTAGTACTTTGTATTTGAGCATATAAGAAATATACAGGGTGTTTCATAATTGAATGCTGATCCTAAAGGGCGATAATCCTTGGATGATTTTAAGAAAAATGCTTCATGTGAACATAGGTCCGTAACAGCTTCGTTTCTGAGATACAAGATGTTGAAATTTAACAAAAAAATCAGTTATTCCCCAATATCTCTGGAACCGCTCTGGCTTTTTTCTTCAATTTTGGTACATGCCGAGTATGAATAAAAATACATTTTTTCCATAATGAAGGATTTCTTAATTTCTATCAGTGGCGTCCCTGTTAACATACCCTGTCATATTTTTCATCAAAATAATGATACGCCACTGTCTTTTTTCCGAATGAATATTATTTTTGTGGTTATCCTCTATCTTCTCATGAAAATGGTCTCTTGTCTTTTTTTCGTCCGGCGAACGGTTTTTGAGTTAGAAAATAAAATGCATTCATTTGCTTGTCCCTATTCGATTTTTACTCTTAGTCATAATTTCACAATTGTGGTAACCAAAAGATCTGAGCAATATTTTTATAATTTTATGGTAACTATTTTTAGGTATTTGTAATGAAGAAAAAAGCCAGAGCGGTTTCAGAGATATTGGGGAATAACTGATTTTTTTGTCAAATTTCAACTTCCTGTATCTCAGAAACGAAGCTGTTACGGACCTATGTTCACATGAAGAATTTTTCTTAAAATCATCCAAGGATTATCACCCTTAAGGATCAGCATTCAATTATGAAACACCCTGTATAATGCTACACCACCTCCTCTAGAATATCTATCATGTCTTAATAAATTATATCCACAGATTTTGATTGAGTTGTCACTAACAGAATCATTCAACCAGGTTTCACTTGATGCTATTATGTCATATCGTTGCAGTAAAATATAGTTTCTGAGTTCAAAGAATTTAGGTACCAATGATCTAATGTTCAGATGAGCCACCTCCAATACATTCATTATTCGAATCATCCTTAAAGTTGAAACGGAATTGAGTGTAACGAGAAAAAAAAGTAGTAATAATAATAGTAATAATAAAAATAATAATAATGAAGATAGGATATTATATTCCTATATTTCAAAAAAAAATTACAAGATATCGATTCCAAAATACAGCCTCTGAGAATATCAAATGGTAGAGATTTTATTTACACCGTTGGGCCCCTTGCTGAAGATATTTCCATTCACCGACCAGACATTTTTGAATCCATATGTTTCAGAAGCTTCTTTCATTAGATTCAAACGATATGCAGTAAGATCTTCTTTGAGAATGATTTCAGTGCCTTTCAACATCTTCTTCTTATTATACACCGATGCTTCGATAGTATTGTCATTGAAAACAACTACAATGTGACGGGGACGATCTCCAGTATTTTTGCCAACCCTGTATGCAGCGCATACGTTCGCCTCCGTGATATCCAATTTCATGTTTTTCTTGAATAAATCGATACATACTTCTAAAGTTTTTTCATGATCAGTTTCTTGTACCTTCATTAGCCGAATATTATTTCTTTTTGTTCGTTGTTGAATATTGTCTAGTTTTTGTTCGATTTTTTTCTGGTCTGCGATATTAATATTCGATTGGACTGATACGGTTGTTGATTTGAGATTATCAATTTCCGCTTCTAATTGTGCAATTCTATTATCGTATTCTTTGAATTTTTCTGCTAAGTTCGAAGCAACTGATTTCACAATTATTTCAGTTATAGCCCTGGTAACGTTTTGGTTATTGAACGCTTCTAAGAGAGTATGTTCAAAATCAGCTTGAGTCTGTCTTGTAGATGCCATGATTTTACTGAAGATTGCGCAACAGGTCTCAGATGACTTTATACAATGTGGTTAACTACTCACACCTTGAATAAATGAATTATTGTTAAAACTTACAGATTTAGGTTGTATTTAACGGAGACACTCACACACGTGCTTGTTTCATTGTCGAGCGACAAACATCATTATATCAAATTTTCACTTATCTTCGGACGTTTCGGGACCGATTCTGCTTCCGTTTCCAACATGAAAAATGATTATTTTCATAGTCGTATCTGTCTTGAAGCTTTTCAGTTTTCAGTGACAATTGGTGACGTTGGTAATCAAATAGGTTACAGGATGTTTTCATTAATTATTCCCGAATTTACCATTCCCATGTTCAGATTTTAGTAGTGAATACCATGTTCTGTCTATATCAACTGAACAAGAAGCAATGCTATTGTCTCCGTTCAGAAGAATGCAAGCAGATTCCTTGATTTTTCTGTTCTGGTTTTTATCTTCTTTTCCAATGATTTTAATATTATTCCACTCCGCCATATGTTGTCCGTCTTCAGTAAGGATATGTTCAGCTAGTTTCGATTGATCGATGTGTCTTTTCTTTAAATTGTACTTATGTTCCTCCGTTTTTACTGAAAGAGGTCTCTTGGTTTCACCTGTATGACACTTTCCACAAACACAAGGTATACTGTAAATACAATATTTTGACGATTGTTCTTCATTTTTCGGCTTTTTTTGAGTTAGAATTGATCTCATTGTATTTTCAGTTTTGAACACAGTTTTCACTTGAAATTTATCACCAACACATTTCATTTTTTCAGATATGTCGAGAATGTATGATATTATATTTGTAGTTATTGAAGATGGTTGATGTTGTTGTGGTTTTCACTGTCTGTTTTCAATTTAATGAATCGTCCTATCGACAAAATTCTTTGGATTGGAATTGAGTTGAAGAACATTCTTAATGTGGTAGACTTCGTTATTGGAAATTTTTTGGTCAAATGATATTGATTTGGCTCTATCATGAAGTGATTTGATTATTCCTTTCTTAATACTTTTCTTATGATTTGATTGAAAGTTGAAATATCTGTTTGTATGGGTCCTTTCACGATATACACTTGAGTAGTTAAGATTGGCTGGTACTGTCTCTCCGCCCTAGGTCACCATCTTCCGACCTTGGGCGGAGTGTCCTTGGACGAGAGTGACCTTGGGCGGGAGTGACCTTGAACGGGTCTGACCTTGGGCGTGAGTTACCTCGTATAGTGAAGTGTCGACAGCGCGCCCTTGAACGCGGAGGTGACCTTGAGGGCGAGACAAAGTGACCTTGAAGGAATGTTGTACGAGTAACCGTCGCATATGTGGTCTTGAAAACGAGTGACCTTGAGCTGTAGAGAGAGAGAGAGAGAGAGAGAGAGAGAGACCTCGACCTTGGAGAGGGAGGTGAAAGCGTGTGCGACCTTGAAAATGGGAGTAGGCTGGTCGAGGTCGTTTTGGTAAAAGTGGGGTGCTGTGTTACGTCACATATCCCAGTTTCTATAAATACATCATTGTATCGTCTGCGAGAGCATAGTTCTCCTAATAATACGAAAGATACGCACCACCAATTCGCACATAAAAAATATACCCGCTCAAATAGATTGGGAATATAAAGTGTTTGCAATAAAAGTGTACGTGAACTGTTATATGTAAGTAAAAAATATTTATATACTTTTTACACCTCTTTTCACTAAACAAAGGAGAATTTATAATGACAGCTCCTAAAATTGATTTGTTAGCGATAAATAAACGAATTAACGAAGACAATGATATTATCAAGAAAACTGTTATCTCATCACTACTCTTGAATAAAAGCTATGTGGTCAAGAAAATATCACTATGTGGAACCAGGTTTGGTAGGAGCGGTTTTGTAATATTGTACGATGAAGAAACTGAGGCTAGTCTGAATTGTTGGTTGCCCAAAAGAGTTGTAGAGTTGCTGAGTGAAAGCGACATTGATGAGATGAATTCTTCAAATGGTCTTTTTACTCTAGCATATTTTGGCCAGAGTGAGCCATTATATGTAGGTGCAAAAACGAAGGCTCTCATCAAGTTTGACTTCAAGCAAAATTAATTCGGAATTATTCTACTTAATTATTTCTGATAGGTTTTTTCAGTATAGTTTAGTGAAAAGGGTTTGAAAATTATATGATAATCATTATTACATTAACACGAGATTTTTGGGTTCGAGCGGTCGAAATGACTTTTTAAAAATGAGCTGAACTTGAGTCAAAAAATGATGTTCTCGGGTTGAGGCTCATTCAGTAACTGATTTATTTTCTAATAGAAATCAACATACAATATTCAGAGGCAAACTGCAAGTTTGCAAATGACTAACAATATTGAGATAATTAATACAATGGAGTGGTTGTCTAGTGCCACAATAACTCCTCCCTGTTTAAATGGAAAATCCGGGGTTGGATGAAGGATTTACCATCTCGGATTCTTGTGGTAGTTTTCTTGATCGGGTCCTATGCTGTAGCTTCTTCTTGATGTACTTGAAGGCGACGAAACTGATAGAAGTGACAACCAAAATATACATAATTAATGTCCATATGCTAATATTTTTGGCTATCACGGGAATTTCCATAACATTCAGTTTTTCGTTCTGAATGTCCAATTTACTTCTGATATGATCCAATTCATCTAAGTTGATTGAATCCATCTTCAATGGCTTGAAATTTATACTAGATTCTTCAGTGGCGTGGAAATATTCTTTTATTTCGGGCAAATTTATTACATTGACTTGCCTTTGGGAACTGTGGTAATTTCTGATCTGGATGTCTTCAATTCTGATCTGACACTCAGGATTCAATTCTAATAGGTATGTTCCTTCCAATGGGACGTTATCTTTATTCTTATCACATTGTTGTTGCGCTACTGCTTTCTTGGGAATGATGATTATCCATGTATTCTTCTCTAGTTTCTGGATTTTGATTTCTTGGATTTCGACTTGAATCTGATGACAGTTAGTGACGTTTTCTGAGTATAGCAACATTTCTACTTCGCAGGGCAGGTTTTCTTTCTTGATCTTGACAGGACTTGTTTCTTGACAAATATATTCTTCTGGTATGATTTCAGAGCATTTTGAATTTAAATATACAAAGTGTTTGTCATTCAGAATGAGGAATTTTGACTGAGGAATGATAGCTTTGAAAGTACTATCTTTTTTGGTTGGTAAGGAATATAAATGATAATAATTATAACTTTCAAGTTCCACAATTGGTGTTTCAAGAATAAATATTATTTGATTTCCTTTACTATAACATTTTATTTCAATAAGTTTTTCAAAAATCAAAATATTTCCTAAAATTGGTTTAAACGGAAGTTTTCCATTTGTGAGCTGTGTACTCATGATTGAAATTTCTTGTAGAAGTTCATTTGGATCTATCATGGAATTATGAAAAGTATTCAACTTGGAAAAAGTGTTTCGATTCGTTCTAAAATATCGTATATTTCTTGAAAACTTGCATTCATTTGGAATAGGACCACGTGAATGAGAAAATATTCATAATTGTCAACATCATGGAGTTCTTTTTTCCTAAGCACTTGTTCAATTTGTAAAATTCTAGATTCTAGTACTATTTGATTATGTGCTAGAGCCTTCGTGTTATTTTTGAAGTAGAGTTATTTGGTCTCCTATGATTGTTTTCATTTCTGATTGATTTTCTGACAATTTTTGGATTATACGATCATATTTTTCTGCGTCATTTTGATCTAGATTTCCTGTCAGTGTCTTAATGATTGTTCCTAGGCCATCTAAAAGTCCTCTTTTGGTTTCTGTATTACCTTTTACTGGATTGAGTTGATCTAGTTGTGATTTGATTTTTCTTTCAATATTATTAATCAAGTTATATGAATTATGAAATTCTGTATCATAATTTTTCTCAGTGTAGTTTGCTTTGAATAATGCAGTTATAAAAATAAACTTATTTTCTAAGCTATGAAATTCTTCTATGATATTACTTATATCAAATATTTGTATAAACGTCCAACAATCTACCTTGTTTTGGGCGTTACCTAACTTATAGGGTAGTATTCCGGGGTTCTGATTTAGGTTGTGGAATCTCGGGAAGTCGAGTTTTCCGAAGGTGTAGGAGATGAGGTATCTGAAACAATAACAGGGGGTTTCCTAAGTTCTTTTATATGAATTATTTCTTTTTTATCAGGTTTTTTCTTGTTCGTTATTTCAACTCTGTTTCTTTCTAACATCTCCGTGATTTCATAAGGTCCTATGAATTTATTATTCTTTTTATTCCGTGTTGCAGGATTGAATTTGTATACCGTTTGTCCTAAATGGAACTCAGTATTCGAGTCTCCTTTTTTATTGGTTTTTTCTAACATTTTTTCTTTTCTAGTTTCCAAGCTTTGACTAACCTTGCTGTAAACATGCTTTAACTTCTCTTTATGATTTTCGGCATAATCAGAATAAAATTCGGTGGGTACGAGGATTTCATTAGGGTCACGTGTTTGAGTATGTCCAAAAGTTAATTCGAAAGGTGTATAATTTGTCGAACTATGGACTGTACTATTATATCCTAATATTGCATAGTCCATGAGATTTTCGTCTTCGTCTGGGTGTAATTCTTTTACGATTCGTAGATGTTCAATTAATGTTGAATGACAACGTTCAACAATGCTGTTGGATTCGTGATGTCCTGGTGTTGTAAAATGAATGTTTATTTTATGAATTTTTAAAATTTCCTTCACTGTATCATTATTAAATTCCGTTCCATTGTCAATAATTAATTTTTTGGGTATTCCAAAGGATGAGAAATATTTAATTAGTGCCTGACTGATATGAATAGCTGTTTTTCCTAAAACTTGATAAGCTTGAGCAAATTTAGTAAAAGAGTCGACTAGTGTTAAGTAATTTTTACTGTTATAGAAAAATAAATCTATATGTACAATTTCGAATGGTTTTGAAGCTGTTTCTGTGTGCATAAGAGGTGTATACGGTTTTTTTTCTGGAATATTTTGCTCCTTGA